TACACTCTCACTCCTGGCCTTCCCTGGTCCAAACTGACCCTCCATGAGGAAGAAATGTAGAGCTGGAAGTGACCTTGGAATCTTTTCCAAATTTTAGTCATTAATATACCATCTTTACAGTCTTTTTAAAATTTTTGTGATAGGTGATTATCTGAACTATTATTTACCTAATATTTTTCTTTACATTGACTAAGTTTTTTTTTAACCTAAATATCTACTTTAGCCTCATTCTGAGAAATGGTTTCTGTAAAATCACAGTTGATGGGATATTTATTTTTTTTCTAACACACATTTAATATAAATTCAAAACTAATCAGTTTAAGGACTTTGGCTATGTGCTACCTAAAATCATCTCATGTACAAAGAGCACACTTTGGGAAATAGCAATCTGGTCTAACTCTTCATTTAACAGATTAAGAAACAGCTTCAGAGAGGTTTGGTTTGTCACAAGTCTAGTTGATGAACTCTCAGGATTTAAACCTGCCTTCTAGCACCTGAACTTATGCTTTCTTTCATTATACCTAGGGTTAATACAGGGCTCTTTTTTAAATTAAATTTTATTGGGGTGACAATTGTTAGTAAAATTACACAGGTTTCTGTAATACATCATCTATATATCACAATGTGTGTTCACCACCCAGAGTCAGTTCTTCTTCCATCACCATATATTTGACCTCTTTACCCTCATCTACCACCCTCCTACCCTGTTACCCTCTGTTAACCACTAAACTATTGTCTGTGTCTATGAGATTTTGTTTCTTCATTTGTTTGTCTTGTTCCTTTGTTGTTTTCAGTTTTATGTACCACATATCAGTGAAATCATATGGTTGTTGACTTTTTCTGTGTGACTTATTTCACTTAGCTACTATTGACATATATGATAAAATTAAATCACAATACATAACATGCCTGGGAATGCAGCTTACAGGATCCTTTCTTTCTTACCATGAAAGAAAGAGGCTGCTTGACTGACAAATTGTATAAATACTGGTTACCTCTGGTATTTGAGTGGAGACATTTCACCACCTTAGAGAGAGTCCTGGAAAAGAAAACAACAATTAATTATGGAACAAAACCTAAGAAGAAATGACATCATCAACTGATAAAGAATTTATAAGAGACTTACTTGTTCTATTGGGATGTCCACTTCCAACCTGACCAGATTACATCTCTGGCCTGTGTTCTTGATGGAATCTTTTGTTTCTTCCAGGGATTTCAACAATTTAAAATGTTTTGCACCTTATTGTCCACACTGAAACGTACACCCTGACATGTGAAAGGCCTTTGTTGAAGCATTCATGGACTATCCAAGTTTTCTCACTTCAGGATTGTTGCCAGGGAAGGTCCATGTAAAAGCACATAGAAGACTTGCCAGATAGATAGAGCTCAAATAACAAAGGGGGCACCTGGGACTCTGGTGCAGGTGATTCCAGAAAGCTTAAATACACAGTGTGACTGTCTTTGATTTTGCATTTACAGAAAGAGGCAGTGGTTCTGTGCTGTTGTTACACCAAGACTCAGATTGACTTTGTTCTTCTGTGTTTTCATCCAGCTGGCTCATCTTCAAAGGGAACATTTTCTTAGTTTCACTTACCCTTTTTTGAGCATCTAAATGTCTTCTATATAGTGTTGGTTTGCTGTGTGTTTTGTGTATGTCTTTCATAGAGAGGTTTGAGTTTTTAAAAATCTGCTTTCAAAATCTGGAAACCATCATAGGGATAATCCGTCTCATTATTTTTTTTATCAGAGATTAGCAACAGTTCTTATTTCTATTGCCATATGCAATGTGAATAGAGCACAGGGACTTATGGAAACACAAGGCTGTGTTGGAATGAAAAGAAGGTTACTAGAGGAAGACAAGGGGGGCAACTCAAAGCATGGAGAATGAGTTCATATTTTCATTACCCAGACTGACATGATACTATATATTACATTCATTCTCAAGGGGAAAACTTTGCTTGTTTCTTGTACTAAGCATCCTCCCAAGGTTTCATAATTCTGAGTTCTGTGTTACACATTCAGTTTACATTCTTTTCTCCAACCTTCTCCTAGTGATTCTTTCTGCAGTTGTATCTCTCCATAGACTTTCATTTCTGTCACATGTGTGTCTCAAAGTTGAAATCAGAACTCATCTGAAGGCTTATAAGTAGGATTAAAAAGACCCACTAGAATTTTAGAATGTGAAACGTCTTTATAGATCATCTGGTCATTTTAGGCCAAGTGAGACAGCCATTGGTATGCATGACTCAGATCTCCCTTTAAGATAGAACCTACCTCCAGGAGTTGTGTTAGCTGACAGCCTCCAGTATCAGGTGCCTTCAGGGTCTACCTCAGCTTTCAAGCCAGAGGTGTGTGTTTCCTGGGCAGCTGCCAGCCAATGGCTGAGCAATGTGGGGGTACAATGGCTTGCCATTTTGGGGAAGCATGGGGTTCTTCTATGTACAGTATTTACACCAGAGTTCCCAGTTGTGCTGGCCCAGACTTTCTCAGAGATATAGCACAGTCTGAAGCTCTTCTTATCAAACTTCCTTTCTACCTGCTTCACTTATGTCAGAACTGCTTCATGGTCTGAAGCTCTCCTTGCCTACCTGTGTGTATCCCTCTGCCTTTTACTTTTCACACTTATTACTCCCAATAAATGTTTTACACTTCTAATCATAATTTAGTATCTGTTCCCAAACCACCCAACCAATACATCAGTACCCCCCACTCCCATCTGAATTTTATAGTAGGGAAACTGAGATCCACAGAGTTGAAGTGAATTACCCAAGGTTCCATAGCTAATTAGTAGCAAAGACAATATGACATCCCAAACTTTCTGACCCCTAGTTCAATGCTCTTTCCCAAACTTCAGTTGTCCACTACCACAGTCATGTATACAAAAGACAGATTTTGCTATATGTATTTATCCCCCATGCTGTTATTTCTGTAACACATTTGACACATTAAAAAAGTATTTCATTTGTTGTTAAATCTCTACTGTAGCCCTGTATGAAGTAATAATATCCATAAAATTTGGATTTTGACATGCTAGTTTTATATTTTTCTTATAAATATCAAATTTATACATTACCATTATAATAAAAGTTTGTGTGTGTACTACCTAATGTCATATCATTGACTGTCAGAGATGGGTGAACCCTAGATCTTACAAGGCAGAGGAGAAGGAAAAGGGAGAGGAAGAAAGGAAAGAAGGAAGGGAGGGAGGAAGGGAGGAATAAAAGCAAAAAAAAAGTATTGTTGAGGAAGAAATGGTAAAAACCTATTAATAACTGCCCAAGGTGCTATGCCATGACCTCCTTGTTTCTTTCCAAGTTTGATCTAATCTCCAGTGAGTCAAGAAACATTATTTACTTATTGGTTGCCTAAAAAACAAATTGAGGGGGCCGGCCGAGTGGCTCAGTTGGTTAAGAGCTCGCTCAAGGGTTTGAGCTCTAAGCAACAGCAGTTCGATGCCCAGCCCGAGCTGAGCTCCCCCTGAGCTGCCAACAGGTAGCAGGATGGCTCAGCTAAAAAAAAAAAAAAGAACAGAAAAGCTCTCAATGGACAAAAAACAAATTGAATGTATTCAGATGTAAATTAAGAATCAAGATTTTCCCTAAAAGAGTCGATTCATTTATCTCCAAAAAGGACTGCAGTGCTCCACTTTGAGCAACTTATTGGAAAAGATGCATGTTACATTTCAAAGCAGTAGCTCTAATCTTCATCTTATAAAGTGTTTCAGTGTACATACTTCCTGAGAAAAGGGTTTATGGAACATTTGCTTTCTCATTAAAAAAATTCATTATTAAAACAAAAAATAAGATTTTTCCTTTGAACTCACAATGTAATATATAGATGATGTATTACAGAATTGTACACCTTAAATCTATGTAACTTTGCTAACAATTGTCACCCCAATAAACTTTAATTTAAAAAGATCTAAAATGCTTTTAATTCTCATTTCTTATGTATATGATTTTGAGAGAAAAATATATTACCAGAGATGATCAGTGAAAAGTATTTGTGGACACAGTCATGTAAATAAAAACTATTTACATTAAAAAAGACTAAGACTATAATTACAATAATCTTTCACCTTGTTGCTATTGTTTTGTTTTAAGAGCCCTGTAATGATTATGATTCTATTGTACTAATGAAACAAAATTGAATTTAGAGCATATGTTATGTAATAATTTAAGAGATGCTTAGTTTCATAGTGATAATTTAACATTTCTCTTAGAGGTAGTAGTATTATTCAGAACCTCTGCCAAAAAGATATTACTGATTTAGAAGCCATTTTGTTAATCTCTAAACCAATTGTCCTTTTAGAAATAAAAGAGCTATAACCTTACGTATTTCCCCATGTATAAGACGTGCCCTTTTTTGAAAAATTTGGGGTCTAAAAGGTGGGTGCGTCTTATACATGGAGAAATATGGTGCCTAAATGTAACACTAGCATCTAGAATGTCACAAATTTTAAATGCATGGAATGTTTGAAGGTAGACATTCAAGTTGTGTTTTATTGTAAGTAGAAAGGTGGCTATACACTTTGGCAGGGTTACTTAATGTTCCATGTTCAACCTATTTCTGGTATCTGGCTTGAAAAGATTTGGTAGTAGTCTGCTTTGGAAAAGACAAATCCAGTACTGATGTGCACATACACTTGGATTAGTTGGGGAAAGAGTCATGTGCCCCCATCCTTTATTTTACATTTCAAACCTGGTACAATGGTTCACATTTCAAATCCAAGTTTAATCTAAGAATAAGCAGTGAAGAATAATATCAAATTATTATTTTTTGAATGAGTAGAGGATACAATAAGCTTCACAGCTAAAACAGAGACAGAATAATTGAAAATAAGGCTATTGCATTCAGATTTTGGTATTTACTGACTCATTTCTCCAAGCGTCTAGAGAACAAATTAGGTAATTCATGTATTTCTTTTTTAGACAATTACAGATGACATAAATGAAATAGAATACATTGCCCTGGGAAAATGAAACATTGCTTTTTCTTACCAGGTTAGCAAGCATGTAGTGATAACCTCTCGAATGTTTCCCCAGGATCACAACCTACAGAAAGAAATAAGAAATATTGCTTATTCAAGAAGGATATTTTCAATTGCACAATCAGTGGGATGGCTAGAACAAATTACTTTTAATTGATCAACAAAATTTTAGGTCTTTATACAGTAAAATCACAGTTAAGTGGATCAGTTTTCCTTTTGTTGCATTTCACTTTCAGGCAGAGAATACAGGGAGAATTGCTAATATCAAAGTTAAAAATGTCAGCAAGGAAAAAAACTCCCTAAATTTCCATGTCAGTAGCATCACTGTCACTTAAAATAGTTGGCAAAAGCAATGAAGTTGATGATCCTCCCACCCATGAACTGAATTTCTGTACTTAGCTGTTGAAATGGCAAATGGGCTGAACTTTGCATACAAATGAGAAAACAGAATGTATGGTACTTTCTTTTGTTGTTATCTGGAATGTTTAGGGAATAGAACAGTCAAGGAATCGGGTTAATGGGATTTTCAGGTTAATCGAGGTTGCTTTTGCTTATTGAAACTTTTTAAAAATGCTTCATTCCTTTTTTCTGCTTTAATAAAAAACCTTGTGACCATCTGTACATCTTTTGGTGCTGAATGTGATGTCTTAGGGCAGTGGGGAAAAGGACTTTTCCTTAAGGGATATTTGGCAATGACTAGAGATGTTTTTGGTTGTCAAATCTGTGACGGGTGACTAGCATCTAGTTGGTAGGGGCAAAGGATGCTTCTGAATATCCTAGAATGCACAGACAGCCTCCCACAACAAAAAATTATCCAGGGAAAAAAGTCAGTGGAGCCAAGGTTGAGAAACCTTGCCTTAGAATCATCATTCTTATTGTAGTTTTCATGAATAAAACTGATTAATAGCCTTACAGTTTACAAAGTGCATTTTTTATTATCTCAAAATATATAAGTGGATTAAATATTTTCCAATGAAATGTATTGGTTGGCAGTTGGAAGTTTTTGACTGAATACCTGACATAAGCTTATTTCCAGATAGCTAACTACAGCAAAAATTCTGGTTAATTGAGGATTTTATAAAATGTCATTTTATTGAGTACCAAGTATGTGCAAAGTAGTGTTCTGAATGCAGGAGTGCGAACGAGGAGGTGGGTAACATAGAGGTTAAAGACACAGCCAGAGGTGGAAGCAGGTTTTGTTTTGTTTTGTTTTTAAGAATTTTTTTTAATTGGGGAATTGGGGGGATGGGAACATTGCTGGGAATTGGGGGAAGGGGAACAGACAAGTTGCTCTCCTTTTTGTTCTTCAGTCTAGTTGTGGAGGACGTTGCTTCACTGGCCCAAGTTGGCACCATCATTGCACTCTTCCCGGGTGAGGCAGATCAGTCGCCAGCTTCTGGACGGCTGCTCACTGTAGCTGCTGGCTGCTCACGCTGGCTGCTGGCTACATACGGTAGCCCATGGCAACCCACTGCCACAGGGGCTGCAGCCTACGCCATCGTCGACAACTCACAGCAGTCCAGCTCCAGGTTGAGCTGTTGTTCAGCATCTTAGCTGTGGAAGGCAGTGTCACTGGCCTTCATATGTGGGATCTGAACCAGGGCCCTCTGGCGTCCCAAGCCAGTTCTTAACCATCGCACCACTTGGCCGGCCCAGGAACCAGGTTTTGTACAGGCCTGAAGCTAATATCACTTTAGGATCACTTTTTAAGAAAAATAATACAACATTATGAATAAAATATTTGCAATAAGGCCTTGGAGAGAACCCATGCAAGTAAGAGGCCATTAAGCTTAAGTTTCATTCTGGACACAGCTGTCAAAGGTTTTAAAAACAACTTATGAAGACAATAAAATTGCACATATGAGGTTTGACAATTATATTCACGAACTCATCCTAGAAAAAGTACTACATACCTCATTGCTGACTATCACTATGGTCACCTTCAAAGTACTCTCTTTGGGAAGCTACACACTGAAGCCAGAGCCTAGTCCACACTTCAAAGCAATTTTGGAACTCTTTTACTGGAATGGCCATAGAGCTGTCATCATATTACCCTTGATGTCCTGAATGTCATTCAAATGTCTTCCTTTCAATATTTCCTTTATCTTTGGGTGAAGAAAGAGGTCATTGGGGGCCAGATCAGGTGAGTAAGGAGGGTGTTACAATACAGCTATTTGTTTTCTGACTAAAAACTCCCTCACAGTTATATGTGAGCTGGTGCATTGTTGTGATGCAAGAGCCATGAATAAAACAAGTTCAGGTCATCTAACTTTTTCATGCACCATTTTCAGCACTTCCAACTAGTAAACTTGGTGAACTGTTTGTCTGGTTGGTATATTCATAATGAATCATTCCTCTGATATAAAAAATGTTAGCAACATCGTTTTGACTCTTGATTTGGACTGATGGAATTCTTTGCTCATGGAGAATTGACTGACTTCCATTGTGCACTTTGATGCTTTGTTTCAGAGTCCTATTGGTACACCCATGTTTCATTACCAGTGATAAAATGGCCCGAAACATTGTCTTGCCTCTCCAAAATGTCTTGGCAAACTTCGACTCTCTTTTGCTTTTGTTCATTGGTGAGCTTCTTCAGGGCCAGTTTTGTACACACTTTCCTCATGCCAAGATTTTCAGTCAAAATTTTCCTGTTTCTCTATCGATGTTTACTTGGTCTCCTATGCTTCTCACAGTCAGCCAATGATTTTGACACAGAATTCGATGATTCTTTGCAATGTTTTCATCAGTTCTGCTTGTTACTGGCCACCCTGACCTCTTTTTCATCAGTGGCATGTTCTTTTCCCTCAGAAAAACGTTTAATCTATTTGTACACTGCCATTGTCTTCATGGCATTATCCCCATTAACTTGGACTAACATGTCCCTGATTTCACTTCTACTCTTGTCAAGTTTAACAAGAAACTTAATTTTTGTTTTTTGCTCTAAATAAAGCTCAGACATTCTCGCAATGGCACATAAAAACACGCAATGACAATAATGAATGCCACTCAGCAAGACACCACCACACTTCCACACGAACACAGCTGTGAGACACTGATATACCAAGGTTATGAAACCTTATTGAGCTGTTTGTACAGTGCTGCCAATGTAAGTGCACAGTGGCAAGTTCACGATCTTAATTGTCAGACCTTGTACACCAAACCAGAACTGTATATAAAAGGCCATTGTAATAATAATAAAAACAACTGCCCTTAATTGAATGCCTAATATGTGCCAGACACTGTGCTAAGTGCTTTATATGTACGTAATCCCTAGAACAATTTAATAGATTAAATATCACCTTTCATTTTATAGATGAGGAATCTCAGCTAAAGAGAATTTAAGTAATTTGCCCAAGGCCACACAGCTAAGAAGTGGTTAAGCTGGAATTAGAACCTGCATCTGTCTGCCTCTAGAACCCATATTCCTGGCAGTTCATTACATGTGTGCTAAATGTAAAATATTAATGATTGCTCTAGGTTCTGGAAGAAGAGGAAGAAGAGGTATCTAAGGCCTGCTGGGGTGGATAAAGTAGGCTTCCTGGAAGAAATGAGATTTGAGCTGGCTCAGAGGAGTGGAACCACATATTCAAATATCGTGCTTATCATGCTGGCATTAGAAGCCCTCAAGTCATTTCAA